GACAATGTAAACCTCATTTCACGAGCCATACCGAAGCAGTCGACAAAGGGTTCCCGCATCTGGACTGCTGCACTGTGCCGGATCAGATGATCATCGGCACAGCGTGGCGGCCATTTTTATTTTAATGAGGCAGGGAATATTTAAATCCCCACTTCTTTGACTATGCCAAGTAAACTATTTTACATGGCTCCGTCGACGGAGCCATGTAGTCTAGACGTACACCATATGTTTCCTGAGTATAATCAAGTCTCTAAAACCTATTTCTTCAAACAAATCCTCTGTTGTAATAATGTGCATGCCCCATTGCAAACTGCTAATCCCATCCCTGCTGGCAAACTGGGACTCTTCAGGTAATCCCTTCCTCAGTTTCCTTCCCTTTCCTTCATACAATGTCTCTTCAACTCTCTATACACTGGTGTGTAAGCTTCAGAGGGGTAGCCAAGTTAGTCTGGAACTAGAAAAACTTAAAAAACAATAAATAGTCTAGTAGCATCTTAAAGACTAACAAAACATGTAGTTGGTATCATGAGCTTTCATGGGCATAACCCATTTCTTCAGATGACTGGAGTAATAAAAGTCCAGATCCAAGAATAAATAAGGGGAAGGGGGTGAGGAGGAAAAAAAGGAGAAAAAGGACAGTGAATAGATTGTTCAAGTTGTTACAAGAGGCTGATAAGAACAATTAGTACCTCCATTATTCTGTTTGTTGGTTAAGTCACTAGGATGTGGAAAGTGGTGTGCAAGCCAGTCAGAAGTTAAGTTCCACCCTTCCCTGTGTTTGGCTTGTAGAATTGGCCTAAAACAACACAGTGACTTCGAGATCCATTAATGAGTGCCTGGGCAAGTTAAAGTGTTCTCCAACGAGTTTCTGTGTGTTGCCTTTTCAGATATCTGATTTGTGTCCATTAATTCTTTCCCGTAGAGACTGTCCAGTTTGGCCAATATACATGGCAGAGAAGCATTGCTGGCATTTATCACATTAATGGATGTGTGGTTAATGAGCCCCTGATGTAGTGGCTGATGTTGTTGGGTCCAGTGATGAAATCACTTGTGTAGATGTGTGGACAGAGTTGGCACAGAGGCTGATTGCAGGGGTGGGTTCCTGGATGATTATGATAGAGGTGTTACTGGAAAGAATTTGTCTGAGGTTAGGGGTTGTCTGTAATCAAGAATTGGCCTTTCTCCCAAGGCCTGTGAGAGTGAGGGGTCATTTTCCAGGATAGGTTGAAGATTGTTGATAATGCATTGGAGGGGTTTAAGTTGTGGGCTGTAGGTGGAATTCTGTTGTTTTCTGTTCTTGGCCTGTCTGGAAGTAGTTCATGTCTGGATACTCTCTGGCTCTGTCGATCTGTTTTTTCACTTCTCTGGGTGGGTATTTCAATTTTAAGAATGCTCTATATAGGTCCTGTAGGTGTTTGTCTCTGTCTGTGGGATTGGAGCAAATCTGGTTGTATCTTAGGGATTGGCTGTATACAATAGATTGAGAAATGTGTCTGGGATGGAAACTAGAGGCATGAAGGTAAGTGTAGCAGTCAATAGGTTTCCAGTACAGGGTGGTGGAAATTTGTCCATCGTTTAATTGTACTGTAGTGTGAGGGAAGTGGATCTCTCATGTGGATTGATCCAGGCTGAGGTTGATGGTAGGGTGAAAGTTGTTGAAATCCCTATGAAATTCTTCAGGGCTGTGTCTACACTGCACCCCTTTTCCGGAAAAGGGATGCAGATTAGATACTTCGGAATTGCAAATCTGCGGGGGATTTAAATATCCCCCGCAGCATTTGCATTTACATGGCTACCACTTTTTTCCGGCTCGGGGTTTTTGCCGGAGAAAAGCGCCAATCTGGACGCGATTTTCCGGAAAATAAGCCCTTTTCCGGAGGATCCCTTATTCCTACTTTCAAGTATTTAAATCCCCCGCGGATTTGCAATTCCGAAGTGTCTAATCTGCATTCCTTTTCCGGAAAAGGGGTGCAGTGTAGACACAGCCCAAGAGTCTCTTTCTCATGGGTCCATATGATGAGGATGTCATCAATGTAATGGTAAGTAGAGTAGGGATGCTAGGGGCAAGAGTTGAGGAAACGTTCAAGGTCAGCCATAAAGACGTTGGCATATTGTGGGGCCATGAGAGTGCCTATCGCTGTGCCGCTGACTTGAAGATACAAATTGTCTCAGAATTGGAATTAGTTGTGGGTGAGGACAAAGTCGCAGAGCTCTGTAACCGGTGTGCAGTAGTGTCTTCGGGAATGGTGGTCATGATAGTCTGTAATCCATCTTCATGTGGAATGTTGGTGTAAAGAGCTTCTACATCCATGGTGGCCAGCATGGTTCTTTTCAGGAAGATTACCATTGTTTTCTAGTTTCCACAGGAAGTTGGTGGTGTTTTGAAGATAGCTAGGAGTGCTGGTAGCATAGAGAAGACCCTAGCACTCCTAGCTAGAGACAAACACCTACAGGATCTATATAGAGCATTCTTAAAAGCTCCAGCTTCGAGGGATGCGCTAAGCCTCAGCTTCCATGTGAAATTAGCTCAGTATCACACCCTATAACATAAGCAGGGGCAACCCTAGCACCAGAATAGAAATGCA